GTCAGGAAAATGACACATTATAGGCGAGGAAATATTGAAGTATTTTTGATCTGGTCATTACCCCTTGGTTATAAACCCTGGTATAAACGGAACTTTTTTGAAATTTTTAGCGTTACAATTGGTATAGGGTCGTACATTTATGATAAATGAACTTTTAAAACTAAACCTGAAGAAATCTAGTATTGATATGTCAGCCTTGCTTGTAACAAGGGAAGGAATTTTTAATTATAGTGCAACATGGCATGACATTGACAACAATAATTAGGTCTTTAACTGCAACATGCTTTGACAGTGACAGTAATAATTAAGTTCTTAACCGGTACCTAAGTGTTAAGCAATTCGTCAGTACAAAGCCGGCTAGCGAATTAATTTTCAAACCCATGAAAGGGATAAAATGATGAATTCGCATCGCAATCCTTATATATGTCCGCTTGCACCGACAAATTTAAGCGAAGCTTAGATTAAGAGTATCGTAAAATCCATGGCAACGATTATTGCGACAATGGTTGGTATGGATTTTAAGCTACGCTTACGCTAAGGGCAGCTTAACTTTGTCGGTGGCAAACGGCCATTAGAGAATTATCGAATTGCAACTGTTATTTGTTTACTTTTCAGAGAATTAAAATACTCGGCATGTTAAAATTATAAGGTCAGGTGAAAGGGATGTCAAAAATAGAAAAGTTTCCACTTGTAAAGTTGACCTAAGATTAGCAGGCGAAGTTAGTGCACTTTCAAGAAATTGATCAATTTTTCATGTCCAACAGTTACCTAGATCACTATTAAGACTCAAAAGCAAGAAAATGGTAAACGCCGATGAATTATTTACCCTGTAAAACTTGATTTGTGAGATAGCCGTAAGATCGAGAAAGCATTGCGTTGAAATCTGATATGCCTAAAATAGATTTTTGGGTATAATTTTTCAGATATTTTTTTATTTGCTACGCATGACAATATAGGGCGACTAGAAGAAATTTCTTCCGAATATTATGCTACTAGAAAAACATGTTTTTAATATCTCGTAGATATTGTGATTACAATTGTAATAATTCTCAGTTGCGGTAACGAATGAAACGCATTCACACATTTTCCTTTTTTTCAAATTCCTGAGTTAATTGGTGCTTCAGGAATGGTCACGGAATATAGTGGACCTACTAATCAGCGGAAGCCAGATTTGTAATTCTGTCACGAAATCCTGCAATTTATTATAGAATCTGCAAACGGAAATTTGTCAATGTTAAAGGTGTTTTCTTCACACTGGGATATTGCGCCAGTTTGCTTGAAAAATTATATAACCTCATAACTCGGCACGAGATCCGTATACACCGTAGGTAGAAGATCCCAATAGACGGATTGCGGTGGCGTCTACTTCCCACTCGTAATCTAATTAATATCATTTTACACGTGTAATTAATTAACTTTCAAACCTTACATAATTATTAATATTTCCATTTACGTAATAATTTAAAAAATTACGCGTACGTTCTCCGTATGCATCATAGCTTTCTTTACGTGGATATCCCCAAACATTGTCGAGCATTGTGTTAAACTAACCTGCAAACTTAATAATTTTTTAAAGACCCCGCAATGGTTTTTTTGTGCTGAAGCACAAGAAAAGCGGACTAATCGTACACCTTCCTAACGCAAGAGAACAATTACGCAATGCTTACACATAGAAGGAACTATTACCTGAGTCATTAGGTCGGAACATAGAAATCATTAGTTGTACTGTAATAATAACAACAACACAATTAGCTAAACAATTGGATACTAAAATGAAAATGATGAGAAACTTTTTTTTTACTTTACGGTGTTCGTTCCGCCTAAAACGTTCACTGAATGCATTCTGTAGATTTTTGGCAAAAAAAAGTGTGCCATGTCTGCCGATTTGTTTATCTTCCTGTGATTGTACCTACATCAGTTAACTTTGGTCGCCGAATTTTAAACAATTTTGGTTCAGAATCGAAAGTGAAGATTTGCTTTTCTATTTTTTTGTAATATGTGGACTGGATCTTCACTATTTTTTAATGCAGTAAAATTAATAATTGAAAAGGAGTATTACCTATATTAGCCGAAATAAGCTTAGGATATTTGATGATGATGATGTTCTTGTTGTGATTACATACAGTACACTCAAACACGAAAGTGATTCAGTACAAATCTCAGTATTCAGTAAGCAGATTTCCCATAAAAAAATGCACCACAATTTAAATTCGTTCTGTGCTCATTAGTACCTTATGGTACCAAAATACTTAAACCATACCGTTAATTACTGGTACTAATTCAAGTTTAGGATCCTTATAGATATTCAGTTATGTTGTTCTCGTGTGTGAACAATAGTTCGCACCCTGGAGATTTCGTACCCTAAACATTTCGCTCCCGAAAAATTAGCACCCTAAAAATTCGCTCCTAGACATTTTGTACTCTGGATATTTCGCACTCTGGACATTTTACTCCCGGACAATTCACACTCAAACAAGCACTGTAAACATTCGCTCTTGGATAATTTGCATCTTGGACATTTGGTTCCCGTATAATTCGCACCGGAATAATTCAAAAGGGTAACTTTTATCAAGACAATTCTCTCCCTCAACATTTCAATATGGTAAATTTCGTACCCGCATCGTTATAGCATACAGATAATTAATAATTGGGGAAACAAACCGAGTATTTCCGAAGATTCGGAAAGTGCCGATTTGGTTTTTATTTTTTTTCTGGTGTTATTGGAACAGATAAAAAAAATTTAAAAATCACTTTCTCATTGCTACTTTTTGAGCTCTACAAGACTCAGTTGAGAGATTTTTATACAACGTCCAATACAACGTTTCGTTTCATCAAGGTTATTTTTTTATATGGCCCAAAAAAAAGTACATACTGTATTGAGTAGCAGTTGTTATTACCAATACAACGATATACGGTACAGAAAAAACCAAAAGTTGAAAACTGTTGGTCTCTATAGGATGGTCCACTAGCGCACAACACCCGTATCGTGCTATCGGACAATTTTCCGCTAGATTTTCGGTTTTCCCAAAAAATTTACCTTATAGGTATGTCACACGATTATGAGCGGGTACACCATCCTGTTGATACCAACATGGGGACCAACTTTTGTTTGTTTGTCCCGTACATCATTGTATTCGTAATAAATACTACTCAATTTAGTATGTACTTTTTCACGGGCCATATAAAAACATAAATTTGATGAAGAATTCTCAGAAACAAAACATTGTATTGAAAATATCTTGTGTTTTGCAGTGCTCAAAAAGTGGCAATGAGAATATGTTTCTTATTTTTTGTATCTACTTAATTTTTTGTATCTATGCAAACTTCGGTTTTTCTGGCACATATCCGGAAATGTTCCTAATTTCTACACACTTCTTTAAACACTGACTTTGGCCGTTTTCCTAAATTTCTCCACGTTTTCTCAGAATACCTTACTATTTTCTCAAAATTTTCACTGATTTCTTCAAAAGCTTCTTATAATCCGCTAAAATTTCCTGCACGTCTTTAAATATGTCTTGCATTGACAGATTTCCCTAATTGTTGTACGAAGTAAAATATCATAATCATTTTCAAATTTTCATCCTGTTTCGTCTGAATTTTTCATTCTCCAAAATTGACTCTAATTTCTCCAAATTTTCTCATCTCTATACAAATCTACAACCTTAAAAACTCTTTATTTTGTTATGTTGATTTCTCAAGGTATATGACCAGGATTGTGTCGTATAGCTAATACTTCTTATCACATACAAGTATTGAATATTTATTTGAATTACTCATTCATACCCTGTATCCTTCAAAGTATTCGCTCAAATTTGAAAACTAAACCATAAGAGAGCTCAACCCAACGTTAAATTCAAAATTATTGAAGGGCTGCTTAGAGGGATGAGGAATTTTTGAGTAAAAGATGTCCCCCTTCCAACCAAACTCGAGCTCTTTCCAAAAAACTATTTCCCTACGAGTTATTAAGTCTGTTTCGTTTTCGTTGTGCCACCCTGTATATTTCTGAAATATGTCACTACTTGTGGAAAAAGTCAGGGTATTATTATAGTTTTAACCATCATCAACTTTGTTGTTTCTTATATAAGTCATTTTTATTTTTTGTGTTATTTGATAGAGCATTTTTTTTAGTTTCAAAAATGTAAATATCACTATTTTTCAATAAGAAATTAATTCGTAAAACCACCCAAGACTTGCCAGGTAAAAAAGAAGATATTTTAACAAAATCATTTTTGATATGCGAGTGATAAATAATATTTTAACTGGTATTAATCAATTCATTTTAAGATTGTTACAAATTTATTGTTAATTAAATGTAAATAAATAACGCACGTAATTAAATAAATAAATAATATCTTGTATTTTTCCTAATTTTGTTTTCTAGAACGATTAATTTTGAGATATTAAATTAGGGGAAGGGAGGGTAAGATGGCTAGTCGGGTAAGATGACGAATCGTTTGTTGAAAGGCTCAACCACCAGATATCGCCGATTTCTACAGTTGAATTACGCGCTATTAGGATACCTCCCACGCCCGTGGTAACAGCGCGCATGTTTGGTGCTTCACAAGTCAGCCATGCCAGTTACTTAAAAAACTCGTGCAGTTGTTGTAATATTTTCATTCACTTAAATAGTGTATAAATTGAAAACGGTAAGTTCTTATATCTGTAGGATTTTTTTAATGGCAGAATTTGGTGTTCTGATATCGTTGAGTGATTACGCAATTCGCTCTTAATGTTCATTGCAAATATATTTTGACATAACTGAAAAAGCAACCCATCGGATAAGATGACGAATAAACAATACGGCTAAGATGACGAATTCGTCATTTTACCCGAAATGTTCGTCATCTTACCTATCCTCATTGCCAAAAAATTGAATTTGTTTGTTTTTTCGTAAAATGTATACCTATTACCTATGTTCTTTTTTTGAAATAGTGTTGCAAAAATACCGATAATGGGCAAAACCTATCACAGGAAAACAAATAGAATGGTCTCGCGAATGTATGATTGAAGCTTTAAACAAAGTAAAGCAGGGAGATTCAGTAAATGCCACGGCAAAGAGGTTTAACATACCGGAAGCGACTTTAAGACGTTATGCCAAAAACTATCCCAATAACGTAGGTCTTATAATTAATTATAATTCTCTCAACTAAGTAAAAATGTTGTTTTTTTAGAATTTCCCTACAAGTACTGGACGATTTAAAACCACATTTTCTGAAGATCAATTCCTGAATCTTAAAAAATACGTTGAGGATGTCGATAGAAGAGCTTTTGGAGTTACTAGGGAACAGTTTGCCCGAATTGCTTTCGATTATGCGGAATCACTTAACATTCCACATAGATTCAATAAAGATAAGAAAAGAGCAGGAAAAGATTTTGTTCAAGCCTTCATGACAAAATTTAATTTTTCACTACGTAAACCTGAAGCAACATCTGCTGCCAGGTTGGCTGCCTTTAACAAAAATAACGTCGAATCATTCTTCGATCTCTATAAAGAAATCCTTGCAAACAAGAAATTTGAACCTCAACAGATCTACAACATAGATGAAACTAGTTGCTCAACAGTACCCACCAAGACACCAAATGTACTGAGCCCAACTGGTAACCGCCGAGTTGTAAAAGTCCCTTCGGGCGAACGGGGCGTGAACGTCAGTGTTGCGTGCTGCTTCAATGCAACCGGCCACTACGTGCCCCCTTTCTTTATTTATCCACGTGTACGTATGCAGTCGCACTTTTTGGCTAACGCCCCAACTGGATCAGGAGCCGCTTGCAATGAGTCAGGCTGGATGAAATCTGAAACTTTTGTCCAATGGTTAGAACATTTTGTAAAACATGTTAGGCCGAGCAATTCTAACCAAATCCTCCTACTCATGGACAATCATTCGTCGCACGTAACATTGCAGGCTGTAAACATGTGCCGCGAAAATTACATTTCCGCCACATACAAGCCATCGTATGCAGCCACTTGATGTTGGTTTCTACGGTCCGTTCAAAACAGCATACAGTCGTGCCTGCAATGATTTTTTGATGGAACATCCAGGACAAACCATTGGAATTAAAGATGTTGCTGGTATATTCAACGTGGCCTGCAGCACAGTAGCTACAACTCGTAATGCTGAGAGAGCCTTTAAATCCACAGGACTAGTTCCACTGAACTCCCAGGTATTTAATGACAGTGATTTTGAGCCCTCCCTTGTCACAGAAAGACCAGATCCATCTACTAAACATGCACAAGTACGCGAAGAAACTGCTAAAATTGCGAAAGGACAAGAAGAAAATGAACCATGCCAAAATGTGATCGATAACAGTTCAATGCCAAGGTTGAGAACCAAGGAAGCTTCTTCTCCTGTTCGAGCCATTAGCCCTGTAGCTGGACCTTCTCGTATTATTAGCGAAGGAACGGACACTCCTCGTGTATGGGAAAGAACCCCTACAAAAGAACCGATAGGTTTACCACCCTTGCCAAGTGCTGCACCGAAAGTTAGAAAACAAAGGGCAAAATTGCCTTCGCTACACATATCAAGTACTCCGGTGAAAAGAGAGTTGGAGAAAAGGGAAAAAGATAAGCAAGCAAAAGAAAAAAAGAAGCAGGAGATCAAATTAAAAAAAGCAAGAATAGAAAGAGAAAAGAGAAACACGGCATTGCAAAGACGGAAAGGTAAAGAAAATAAAAAAAATATATATCCTCAACGCGATTCATCATCGGAGTCGTCTGTTTCAATTGAATACGATGAAGAGGATGATGATCTGGACTCACCAGATGAAGAGGTGTGTGTGATATGCAATGACATTGGCAAAACGGAAACTTGGTATGCTTGTTCAATATGTCACAAGTGGAGTCATGCCGAGTGCACTGGTCTGAGCTCAGCAGAATAAAAAAAAACAGCATATGTTTGCGACTTTTGCTTATAAGGACTAATGTTAATGACTTAATGCGCATACCTAACATGTTAATAAACTTATTTATTGAAAGTTTTATTGTTCGCCATCTTACCCCTCTTACAAAGTCATCTTACCCCTAATTGAGGGTAAGATGACGAAATGAACATGTGTTAAGGTAAAAATTCGTATTTCAAAAAACTATAAATTTATATAGACAAGAAAATTACCACAGTGAGGTAATACATCGGTGATGTTACATGCTAAATTTGAAGATATTTGAATGAATATCTTCCGTTAAAAAAATTAATAATCGTTACCATCGCCATCTTACCCTCCCTTCCCCTACATGGTCATTATTTTCCACGAATTGATTATTAGACTCTCGATCGACATTTGCAACACCCTGTACCCTGCACAATTGAGGAAAATTAAAATATATGGTATGATTTCGAATTATTGGAATGTGCCTTATTATTTTCAGTAGTTTCATTAAATTATCTGTAACAGTTTTCAAGTTATAACGAAAAATCGGAATTAAAGACTAATAGTTGGTATACTCAAATTCTGATAACACCGAGTGCTCAATTTTTCCCACAAATGCCAACAACCCGTAAATATAGTTCTTTAAATCACATCCTTACCTCCATGTAGAAGCATAGGGCAAAAAATGTGTACCTCAAATGGGTGACAGGAGGGCCTAGGGATGTGCCTACAATAAATTGTTTCAAACGCGTCTGGTTTGAAAGTGACATATTTGAAAATTGATTTTTAAAGTTAATTGTTTCTTAAATTAAAAATAAAAAGGGTCCTAAAGTTATTATTGGAAACAATCTGGCTTTACGTTTCCATATTTGCTATTAAAAATATGCTATAATACCTATTCAATTTACCATGTCTGACAGCCATATTTTAGACCCCGTACCCCTCAAAATTAAATGGAGGCAGATTTTAATTGGAAACTTAAAACTAAAGGATAATTCCTCGCAAAGTACAAAAAACACTAAAAGAACTTCAGCCTAATAGCCAAAAAAACATTTTGTCGGTGCTTATACTGGCGGAAATCCATCTACTAAAGAGTAAAGACTAAACCGAGAAGAGGATTTTAAAAACTGCTTCCAAAAGGAGGGCAAACTAACGAGGTAAATGCGGCCATTCTACAATCTTTTGATATCGCTGTAAAAGCAAATCTAGTCTAGTCTGGTCATATTCCCAATCTACATATCAAAGCAAATATTTTCGCAATTAATACTTGCTAAAGTAATTACGAGTCATTTCGAGCAATGACCGATAGTGTTTTAAATATTCATTGGAACAATTGAAGATGTTCCTGTCATATTCGCTCGAGATTGCCGGTAGAAAACTGCAAATTGCATCCTTCCTGCATCAAACGATCTAGTCAAACACGTTACATAATTGACCTATTCCCCTTTCAAAAGCAGTCTACAGTTTTGCTGCTAATTAAAAGATGCACTTTACTAATGTGTCTATGGTCATTTCCGATACTAAGTCACGATTCGTGTTCATGTAACACGTAATTATACCTACCAAAGGCAAAAGTTTAAAACTGGTACAGCATAATTGGAAGCTGTCGTTGCACAACTTCAATTCCGATATGATTATCTTCCAGTTAGTCAACAGTTCCGTAAAAGTTCCAAAAGAATCCGGTAATTCCCAAACGTAAAAGTAAAATTCTCGGATGACCGCCGGAACCTGATATTATTACAAAAATGATCAAATGACATTGACAAGAAAGGATTGCTTTCTCCATGACTTCATCTCATTCTGTCCAAAATTTCGTGACGATATTCGAGCTGCAGATCGAAGATTCGACATGCCGACTTTCATATGAGCACTTGCACTTGACAGACGTTAAAAAAAGCCATAAAAACGTAATTAACTTTGCGGATGCGGTGCGCGTTCCACTTTCAAAGACAAAAACGACCAAATAAAATGTCTTTAGGTCGTCGGATTGTAAATTTAATTCGGCATTATTTAGATTCGTAACTAAATTGCTTGTGTAATGACTTCCTCCAGCAATTATGAGAATGTAATGTTAATTTAAGAACAGTTTTTGTATTCAGAAGTTTTGTAACGTAGCAATTATTTCAAAATGGATTAATTAAACAGAAATGTGGAGAACTAAGAGGGGAAAAAGTGCACATATCCGCCGTTTTCGGATTGCAAATACATAGTAGTTATCTACATACCGCTACCGACTAAACGGTAATATTAACAATAATTAACAATAAAAATTGAATTACATTCAAACATATTACTGCACGTGAAGGTCGGCTAGAAAGTAAACGCCTTTACTCGTATATCTCTAATACAAACAACGCAATTTAATTAACATGGTTAGCTTATTACAACATGGAAACACACCGCAAACTTAATTTATCAGATAAATTGCCTGTAATTAGTATCCCTTTCTTGCAAAGGACAAAATCAAACAATGTTAAACTGTGTCAATCGACTTTCAATAAAAATCTGTACGGAGCGCAAAATGTAGTTCAATTACTTTCACTAGTTTTTAAAAAAGAAATTGTAAATTAACAGTTTCGATTTTTTTTCGAATTCACTATTGAGGCAGTAACAGCGTGGGTCGTCGATAGCGTTTGTTTCACTTTCGTATACACATGTATATACTTTCTTCAACTCTCGCAAAATTTGTCGCCCGGTCATAAATTAATTAGCAATTTACAACAACATTTATTATATCTTCACATAATAGGTAACTAAATCAGGTTTGGCATTTTTATATGGTGAGGCTATGTAGGTTACGAACAATGTAATATATTGCTACTGGTATTAGGAGTGGAGGTAATAAATGTGCGATCGGAAGTGATTAGAATTGTGCTGAGGAAATTCATAGACATTTTAACGATGTAGATATTGATTAAGATTATTACTTCCCTCTAAATGAGTTTGTAAAAAACGGTTGGGGTATTTTAAGAACATCCCTCGTCTGTGGCCACTATAAATTACCCATTGGGGTCGAAAGACAGTGGGCGCTAACTGTAAGGGGGGGAGGCGGCGCAAATTTTAGAAAATACATTTTTTCCACTTTTCTAAAGGGAACGTCCGATGTCATCCTTTTCTCTATCTCATGCACCACTTAATTATTCTAACGGTAGCTCTAAATTTTCATTTTTTCAAAATTAGAGTTAGAAATTCTATGGGTTGTCGAAATTTAGAGGGCCGCTTTTTCAGTAACGACTATAGTGGAATCGTATTATTAAGCCGTGGTGGAAATTCTAAAAAGAATTTTTCTTAATGAACATTTGGAGACTAAATGTGTAGAAAATAGAGCTGTTACAACTGCGAATTCGGCATGGGGCCAGTTTACTAGGCGTTTATTAATAATTAAGGAACGGGGGGGTTTAGTTTTGAAAAAATGGTGTTTAAAACTTTGATTATTTCGCATCTGAACATAAAATAGTAATTCGGGTCGTGCACTACCAAGGGATAATCGCGTAGTTTTCGTAAATTTGGGCTGCTTTCATGAAGGACGAAATACTGTGTTTTTCGGATATAACAAAAAACTCTCTTAGGGTCAGTTTTTCCATCCCTCGATAAATTTATTCGGAAAATAAGTACCGTGACAACGATTGATGGTATCCATAGAATTTATTCAAAAAGTTATTGAAAGGGTGGAAGCAACGGGCCTTAGAAAATTCAATTTAATTTCATTTGCACGCAAGTTCCGTGAGTTTAATTTTGATAAAGTTAAAATTGAGAATGGCATTAAGTAGGAATTGTCGTGTGAGAGGACGACATAGTGAAATCCGCACGTACCCGTCGCGTAAATTCATTTGGTCAAGGACAGATTAATTAAACAAGCTGGTTTCTTTCTCACTACGATCAGATTCAGCTGTGTAGCCGTTAGTGAACAAAAGGGGAATACATTTGGTGATTGGAATACGTAACTCTGAAATAAATGTAAAGGTCCGCAGTCAAGTGCCTTGAACTCAAGAAGAATTGGATTTTATAAGAAAAATTAGTGTATCAGGTTCATTGTTCATAGTTCAGGTATCATTAATCCTTATTTGCATATTTATGTTATAGCTATAATTCATTATATCATTTT